GTGTGTTTTTATGTGTATAATAGCTGAGTATGTAATCGCTGGATATCAATAAGAAGTTACTTGTCAACTTACGATCCGTCCTCGTTGCTGCGGTAAAACACAAGAAACGGATCTGATTTTCCGAAGAAATCCTTCTTATCCAGCTTGTTCCCACAAAACTGTAACATCACTGACTCCTAAAGAGGAAGAAAGGGACCAAAACAAACATGACACACTGCCTCAGAAGTGCTCTAAAGACATAAAATATGACCTGCTATTAATACAAAAAGTATTCATATTGGTCAATAGGATGGTGAAGACTTGTGCATGTGTGTTATATATATTTGTTTTGTGTTATTCTCCTTTTGATCCCATGGCTTTTTGTTTGGTGAATTGATTTAATTAATTGAATTGGTTGATTTTATTACACAGTCAACTGGCATCTCTGTCACTTTTATAATTAATTTATCTTTGTAGCAGTTTGCTGCAAAATGGTTCTTTGGTTTTAAAGGATTGACGCTAACACGTGGATCTGACTGTATGATGTTGTACAAAAATGTCAGCAAATAAAAGACTTGAGCCCAGAATATCAGAGAACTTCCCTTCAGAAATATCTGCTTTCTATATTAACTGAATGCTTGGGTGGACAGATTCACTACTGGGAGCGCAAGATGATGCCTGCAGCACATTCAGGTTGCACATTTGCACTGTTGCTGTCTGCTGTATCTCCCAAAACAGCCTCAAGAGTTTGGAAGAGATACTAGGAGATAGGCACAGGGAGTGCTGGACATGGCTGTACCATGCAGCAGGACCAGTGTCTGCTCTTTTGTGGGAGGAGAAACAGGAGAAGCACTGCCAGAGCCCTACAAAACGCCCTCCAGCAGACTACTCATGTGCATGTTTCTGGCTATATTGTCAGAAACAGACTACATGAGCATGGGATCAGGTCCCAGCATCATTTATTGTGCACACAGCTCAGCACCATTCAGGAGAGAGCAAAGGTCTGTGGCCACCTGCAAAACCTGCAAAAGCATTCCAGTTTTAGGGGGGATTTCATTTCATTAGCATCAAAAGCAGGTGAATTAACCAACAATGGATTATGTGTGTCACAGAGGGAGAAGCACAGTTTCTCATTTATACAAGTTATTGTTAAATATATGAATATATTGACGACACAAGTAACTAGCCTTTCTAACTGAGATGGGGGTATTTGACATTAAATTAAATGCTTTTTTTATCCTTCCAACTCCATAGTGCAAAGTCGTGTGTAAAGCTTACGAATACGTGTATTCTATGTGTGAAAACAATATTAAAATGTTGGACAATTTTAGTTCGATCTGTGTGATTTTTACTTGAAGAAGACAAAAGAACCAGAGAATATGGATAAATAAAGCACAGCATCTCAAAGTCTGAAAAGTCCACTTCAAAATGGCCAACAGGTGAACCAAACAGACTCTTACCCTGCAGTTGCTCACTTCTTCTGCTCTCACTATGACAGTGCCACATTTCTTTCCTGGGATTCCACTAGAAAAAAGAAAAACAAAACAGGAAATTGACCGCATTGATTCCAGTTTAAATGCTTTAAATGTAATCTATTTTACACTGTATATGTCTGTTCTATTACTGCATGCATACTATATTTAGTGCTTCACAGTATTATTTGTCATCTTAGTTTTTTATAGAGTATATCTATACTACTCATGAGTAGTAAACTGCATTTTGTCATTCTAATCTGAATTTTTGAATTCTTGGTTGTTCATCTTCCTGTGGCATTTCTTTTCACCACAGATTGGGGTTTTGGGCAAATATGTATGATAAGAATATTTAAGGTTGTTCAGGAGTTTCAGCAAAATGCTGAAAATGAGAGAATTTCAGGAGACGCTGCATCTAATTTCTCCTCTTCATGTTTTCTCTTGCAGTCACTGCCTGATTGCATTTGTAAATATTAATTAATGCTGAATGAAAACCTTCAGAAAAGAACATCAAAGTAATGCAAACCACATCCAGTGACATTTCAGCTGAAATGTTTGTTTGCATCCTGAGCAGGCGAAGCGTAATATTCAGCCAATAAAGCCAAGGGAGGCTGACCACTAAAAATAGACAAAATGAATGCCACAGACCCCGGGCCTGCTCCAGAGTAAGGAAGGGTAGAGATCATTTATTTTGGCTAAGTAATGTCCAGTAATGGTAGAAAGCGCCTTAAATAAATAAGAAAATTGAGAAATTTATGGCTGATCTAAGCAAGTTTTTGACAATTTCTCCATCGCCTGAGATTCACAGGCATCTTTGGATGAACAGGGAAGCTTCAGTGAAATGAAGCCACTGTACATGGAGAGATTGCTCAGTAAGGGGCCAGATGGAAGAAATGGTGAGACAAAGAACAAAAAAAGAGATGGACAGAGCCACAGAGAGAAACAGAGGAAGAACACAGTGCGTAAATCATGGAGTACAAAACACTGTAGAGGAAGCCTGACACCATCAGTGCGTGACATCACAAGTGTCACTGAATTGGAATTTTCGTCTGTGATCCCCTTCAGTGCTCACAGTCAGTATCTTACATGTGTGTAAATTAGCCTCAATCTTACGTTCTTGACTGATAAAGCTATATGCTATAAAGCAACTACAGCTTAAACACCTTCACTCCTAAACAACTGATTCAATCTTGATGGAACTGGCACATAAATTACCCAGGGTATGTAGCATCTATATGGTGATTGACTCAACATTTACTTTGAATAAAAAGTGCAGTTTTTTTTCTGTGTATTTCTATATAGAAGCTGCAAAATCAAGGCTGTTTAGTGAACATGTGCTGTTTTTACAACTTAAGTACACAAAGATTCAAAATGAGCTAATATTTTTCTTAAAATGGTACATGTTCTGGTTGTCACTAAGCAAATGACCCATATGCTGTGAGGGTATTGCAGAGGCCTGGGTTTGTATCCGCCCCGGGCCATTTTCTCTCCATCTTCCACTTGCTCTCTCTCCCAGCTTTCCTTTTGCACTCTCAACTCTCCTATCATAATAAAGGCTAAGAATTCCCCAAAAATACTTGTTAAAAATTGTGCATTTTCTCACTTCTGTTCTGTTATTAATAAAATATGGATTTATGAAATTTGCTAATTATTGCATTAGGTTTTTAAGTACAGTTTACACAGTATTCCATTTTTGGAATTGGCTTTCCAAAACATCTGTGCTGAGCTTTTTCAATGATTACATTTATGTTAGCTTTAATTACCAAGTATCTGGATCTGTGCCATACACCAATACAGTTGCTGGATGTACCTTGTGTTACGTTCACCTAAAAGGGGTCTAGGCGATGAGGGGGGGAGCAAAATGTGTCCCTTTAATTACTGATGTGAGTCAGCTGTGTAAAAGAGAAAGGGTGGCACCTCAGGCAGAAGAGATTGAAGGACACGCCCACACAGGCACCTTCAGGAGGAGGCCCTGCTAGGGCCGTAACACCTTGCTAACAAAGTAAGCTAACTTCAGCCGATAACTTTACATTCTCATCCAAACATTGTCACTTTTGGCATCCAGAAGTCCAGATGACAACAAATAAAATGCCACATTCAAGGGTTCAAAGAGGTAGTCAACAAAATAGTCCATCATCCATATACAGTCTACGGTTTACAGTTGTTCTTCTATTTTTGTTGTTGTTGCTGCTTTATTTTTATTTGTATGATCCAGAGCCACTCGACTGAGCAGGAGTGAAATGCTTTCAACTTAGGAAGGAGCACAAACAAAGTAACACACCCACACATACACACACACACACACACACACAGTTGCCCAGACTTGCAAATGTTAATTGCAGAATAATGACGAATATCTAAAAATATCTTCACAAATCCTAAAAAAGTTACAAATAAAACATGTAGGTGCTAGAAAGAAAGCACAAAGACACAAACACACACAATCACAAATCTAAAAGACAGTGAATGACTGCGGGCAGAGATGATTACATAACTTAGTGACAGCAACACATTCTTACATCATATTTTTTGTGTATCATTCTTTAGGAAACCCATTCAGTTCCAACCGCTCGTTGATTCTGACACACACAGACACACACTCACTGACAGAGAGAGACACACACTAATGGATGTAGATGCCAGTATGGCCACTTACTTTCAGCTCACTCAATTTCTCCCTTTCGCTCACTCTAACACACACATATGCACACACAAAAAGGACACCCACTGGAGGACATGGGGATCAGACCATGGTTGGACAGCTGATGGCTCACTGTCTTTGGTGGAAAATTAAAACAAGACGAACAGGTTCTTTAGTTCTGCTCTGTGGGTTGAAGCTGCAATAATATGAGGATGCAGCTAACAACCAAAAAGAAGTCTGAAGACCTCTTGGAGAATTTACAAGAAAGCTTTCCAAGAAAACTTTGGTCCATGATTTATGAGGAGCCTTCGTGCAGTAAACGAAACTCTCACTTCTGTGTAATTTTAAATTGGGCTGTATTCGTGCAGTAGCCTTGTTTATATTTAAAGTATTATTAATGAAATATTTTTAAAGAACCTTGAACTGTTTTAGCTTTTCTAAATACCCATGAAGCATTCAAAACTCATGAGAATATATTAGCAAATGTCTGTACCTTTGACTTCCCTATTTAATTAAGACTTACATCTGGATACAAATCTGGATAGCCGATCAACTCTATCTAAAGGTCTGACAATCCACTGCCATGTTTTTTTAAAGTGCGCACGTGGAGTTGAAATTGTCGCAGACTAAAACGCATTCTGTGCATCACTGAAGTCAATTTGATTATTGTATTTTGTTCTTCGTGAAAAAAAATAAAATAAACTTCTTTTTGGATGTTATCTGCCTTGTCCAAGATCCGGGGAGGCCCAATATGAATGATAGTGTTCCATTATACACTTTTCTACCCAGGTATGGTTTTTACTGGATTGGCAGAGTGTGATAGTAGATGAGATCCTCAACAGGGCTGGATAAATTGCAGCCTCAAACCATGACAGAGCCTCCACCGTGTTTTACAAATGGCTATGGATACTGACTGTTGTACCTCTCTCCTGACCTTTGCCCTACATACTGATAAATTATTTGTATTTGAACCAAGAAATTGCTGGACTTGCTCTTCTCGTCACTAAACCCATTAGTATTATGTGATTAATAATAATATAAATACCTCAAGTAGCTAAAACCTTTGCATAGTTCTGTATCTTGTTCTTGTTTTCACCTGTAATTTGAACCTATTCACAGGTTTGATCAGTTGTGTACAAATTTATGCCTATGAGATAAATAAACCTGAATCTGCTGATCTACTGCTGAATAATGAATCCTACTACAACTAGTACGATTAAAAAGCTGGGAACCTTGACAATTTGTCATTACTTCAAAATACAATGTTTTCAAACCAGACTTGTTAGTACTTTTTCAAATTGATGATTGAATTGTGATTGTGTAATCACTTGTGTGATGATAATTGTAATTCTGTTCAGTATGGAAGGCATGTTGGCAGTTAGGCTAACAGCTCGGTTCTTCCTCTGAATGTACTACTCCACTGTTTATGTTTATTTTTGTCAGTACTAGCTGATACTGGAGAGAAACTGTCAAAAATGCTAGCAGGGGACAGACTTCCTGTGCACTAGAGGATGCTTCCAAGCTAACATAAACACCCCATCGAGCGTAAATTTGACATGAACTGCTACAGGTCTAATCACTGCTTCTTTTCCTGCTATAATTAGCGACCGAGAGGATGAAATCACAGATTCATTGATTTTAAAATATCTCTGATGAGATTCTTTAAGTCTTAAGTTCAGTTAAGGCTTCTACAAAAAGGAGATGTGAGCTCATCACTGACACATTCACTTTGGGTGAACTGTCCTTTTTCAATATTTGATTTTTACCATCTCAGCATGTTTGCAGTCTGTCATTAGCTCTACTGCTGTTAAAGTGTTCATCTCATTTGGCTGTTGGAGGCACCGTAGGCTTTCATCAACATCATTACTCATTTTCATGCCGCTGCTTCACTTCGAAGACAAACAGTGGCAATCTTAAAATCACATGCTGATTTTCAGTTCACGCCTACATGATCTAAAATTTTAACAGCTTTTTTGAGCTACCCATTGACTCCCAGATTAGAGTAATGTAATACAAATATTTTTGCCCATCACTTTAAAATGGCAAAAATCATATTCCAAGAGTGTGCTGACTGTTGGTCATTGTGCGTGCATTGTGTGGTGTGTGCCAATTACGTCAAAGGTTTTTCTAAGCGGCTTCCCAGGGAGCCGACAATTTCACCCAGTGTGCAGAAGGCCTGGCCCAGGAAGTCCTGCATTAAACAAGGGAAAAGAAGGTTTATGAGTTAAAGAGGAACATTCATTACAATTTTCTTTATATATCTTTTGCATTTGTTCCTTTTTCCTAAATCTGTCCTTAAAGACGGTTTAATATTAATAATTAAGACATTTAATTATTAATTTGTGAGTTTATAAGCTAAAATACAACATATTCTCTTATATTTTTTAGCTTGCAAAATCCAGTGATTTCAGTCTTTATTATAGGATTTTGTACCATTTTACCCTGCCACTTATCATTGTAATATCTTTTTCAGCTGCAACAAACAAGGCTGAGCCGATTATGTGACTGGCTGTGGCTTCAGCATGACTGAACAAACAGCCATCATACAGAGATACCACACAGCAGTGCCACGTGGAAAACAGAAAAAAAAGCTATAGGTAAAACAAAATAATTAAGTAACAAAGTAAACAAAGTTGCATTTGCACCTGCATTGGAAATATCTCATTTGAAGCAGATTTAAAGTGAAGCGTAAAAAGAAACAAATTACTCAAATTAAATGTCACACTCCCTTCTCCATCCACGTTTATTTTGCACACTGACATCTAAGCCCAGCGTGCAAAGAGACTAGTGTCCTTGTTGATCACTGCAGGGTGACCACATGAGAGGAGTCAGTGTAGAGATGAGGAGCCCTTGGCCAGCAAGAACAGCAAAACAGAGAGACAGAGGAGGGTGCATAAAAAGTGGACTGTTCATGCACCGATACTAAGGCCTCCCCTACGAGACTGAGAATGCACGCGTATAAAAGTGCTTGACAGATGAGCCGTGTTGAGTCCGCTGGGCAGAAAGCTGCTCCAAAGATCTTTGATGGTGCTCAGTATATTTCTCCCCCAGCCGAGGTCTCAAAACAAAAAGGGATGACAAAAACACTCTGGCTTTTCCTTAACATGTGTGCTACTAGCGAGGAGCCCTAGCCCACCGCCTGCTGCACCATTGAAAGTCTAAGGCTAGGAGTTGGGGTGCAATAGATTCACTGTACAGAGAGAAAAGGTTTGAGGGGTTTCCCTAATAAAAAGTTATAAGTTATATATATATATTTTTTACTTTACTTCCAAACTCCTTATAGTCCCACGCGTGGGATACTTTGTCCTCTGCATTTAGCCCATTCACTCAGTGAAACAGTGGGCAGCTACCAATCCAGCGCCCGGGGAGCAGTGTGTAGTGACGTTCCTTCTTACTGATGTTGCTGTCATTCGGTCTCGCTATACATCACTACGGCGGTCTTCCTCTGCTTGTCCATCACTACTATGTCCGGTTGGTTAGCCACCACCATTTTGCATGTCTGTATCTGGAAGTCCCACATGGTCTTAGCTTGGTCATTCTTGACCACCCTACGGGGGGATCTCCCATTTTGACCTCAGACTTCCAGGCCATACTCGGCACAGGGGCCTGTCCTTCGATGATGGGTTCCTCCTCTTGCTCCTCTTTCTTGGGTTTCTGCTGCCAGACGTATTCACTGAACACGTGATTGGTTGTGGTCATCTTACAAGCAGTAGTAAGTAATCTTGAATGTTTGTTGTCTCATCCTGGACTGTGGTTCTGACACTCACCAGTTCCCAGCCTCCTTCCTTCCGCTTAGAGTACAGCCTAAGGGTGCTGGACTTGGGGTGAAACCCTCCATTCATGGTGCATGTTTCGTGGTCTTGATGTCAGTGGCTTCTATCTCGTCCATTGGTCAGCTCATTATCCCAGCAAGGTACCTGATCACGGGCAGGGTGTAGGTGTTGATAGCCCGGATCTTGTTCTTGCCATTCAGCTGACTTCTCAGGACTTGCCTGACCCTCTGTAGGTACTTGATGGTTGCAGCTTTCCTAGCGTCTTCTTCACGGTTCCCATTTGCCTGTGGGATGCCCAGGTACTTGTAGCTGTCCACTATGTCTGCAATGTTGCCTTCTGGTAGTTCGATCTCCTCAGTTCTGACTAGCTTCCCTCTCTTTGTTACCATCCGACTACACTTCTCCAGTCCGAATGACATTACAATGTCATTGCTGTATATCCTGGTGGCGTGGATCAGTGAATCAATGTCTTGTTCACTCTTGGCATACAGCTTGATGGCATCCATGTACAGGAGGTGGCTGACAACTGCTCTGTTCTGTAGTCAGTATCCGTAGCCAGTCTTGTCAATGTTCTCACTGAGGGGCTTCAGACCTACGCAGAACAGCAGTGGGGACAGAGCATCTCCTTGGTAGATCCTGCACTTGATGAGCTTGCTATGGGTTTGAAGTTGGCCTCTAGTGTTGTATGCCACATCATGTGGTACCGAGGCAGGTTATTGGCCAGTAGTTGGATGGGACCGCTCCCTTCCTGGGGTCCTTAGGAATCAGGACTGTCCGGCCTTCTATTCTGGGTGTCTCTCATCAACTAACAGCTGGTTCATTTGTATTGCCAGATGTTCATGGAGTGCAGTCAGTTTGTTCAGCCATTGGGCATGAATAATATCGGGGCCTGGTGCTGTCCGACTCTTCATACTGGAGACCATTTCTTATGTGTCTTATTGGTTGTACCCAGTGATATCATGAACCAATATAAACAAGAAGTGCTGGGCCGGCCCCTCCCATATCCCTGTTTTGAATAATTGCATATACATACAAGAAGGTCACACAAAGGGAGGCTCCTCTGTCAGGTAAAAATGACTGTTTTAGTCAAGACAGGCTGCATATAAAGTGCTCAAAAAATGTTTAAATCAGAGTAAAGCATCAAGTCAATTAAACTTGTGGGATATTGATCTGGTCAGTTAAGTACCAGAGGAGGTTTTTAATCAGTTTCAGCTGCTTTGGTGTTAATGAAATTAACAACAACATGTGCATGCATCAGTCACTATCAGTCAAGGACGGGCCTCCAGAGCCCAGACGTCAACATAACTGAAGCAGAATTGGATAATCTTGACAGAAAGCGAAACAAAACTCAATCAGCATCCAAAGAAGAGCTTTGGAATGTCCAAGAAGGCTGGAGAACTGTTTCTGCACACTGCTTCAGGAAATTCAGAGACAGCTTGTGAGTGTTCAGGCTGTGTGGGTGGGTGATTAACTGATTGAACACAGGAGATTAACACCGGATAGGTAACAAGTGAATAAATAGATAAAATAGATTAAACTAATCATGCTGGAGGAGCAGAAGAAAAACATTGGAAACTTATCAAAGGACGCAAAACTGACAGCAATAGACAAGAACCAATGATTACAAAAACCTATAACTCGAGGAAAAGAAAAAAAACAATCCAATAACTGTTACTTGTGATTCCTTGAGTTTTAAAAACCTAATGGAAAACAGAGCTTTCGGGTATCAGGCCCTCTCCTGTGCACCTAAATCTAATCCAGACAGACACACGCACTCTGTAATTTACAGATTAGGCTAAAAAACGTTTTTGTTGTTGTTGCCTGCAGTCAGGAATGAATCATTCCCTAGTTACACTGCTATAGGCTCAGGCTGTTGGGGGGACTTCCCATGAGCATTACTTTTCATCTTCCCATGTATATGTCGCTACTTCATGTCATTAATTTTGTCTTTTCCTTCCATAGTTTCTGTTTTGTCCTTGGTCACTGTACTCTTCTCTTGACTTCCCCCTCAGTTCCAATTGTTCGTAGTATTTGCCTGTCCTCCTTGTATCCTGGAGCTGCTGGAGGTGTCTTCCTGTTGAACAGGAGTTCTTACTTCTCAACATTACCAAGTACTTGTTCATAAAAAATCTGATCATTAAAGATTCCTCTCTCAGTACCTTTCTCAAAACAACTGTTGTTGTGAATTGGTACTATATAAATACAACTTCCTGTGCCTGTGTGGGTTTCCTCCAAGTACGCAATAGTCCTCCCACGTCCCTAAGAGATGCTTGTTAGGTTAAATGATGATTTGAGCCGTAGGTGTGATTATGATTACTTTCTATCTCTGTCTGGTCTGTGATGGACTGGCAGGCTATCCAGAGTGAACACAGATTCTGCTAGAATAGACTTCATCCATCCATCTAAAGAAAGTGGATGGATATTACTGGTCCAACTAGAATTTTGGCAGAATTGTATATACAATATGTACATATCATATGCACAATCTCACACATTACAAGAAACTGTTTTAATATGGACTAAAAATTTAGCTTGAATAATATGAAAAAATATATTGAACAAAACAAAAATACACATAAAATATTAAAATCCTAAGTCTTCAGAAAACTATAAGAGGTGCGTCATCAGCACCAAACAACACAAAAGGTAGAACAGAACTTCGTTTGAAGGACCCTTGGGCTTTAAGTCTGTTGCACTCAGTAGGTATTTCTTGCATCACACTTGTGAACAGTCTAATAAAGGAAATGCCACTATTCTTTTAAAAGCTGTTAAAGAAATAACAAGATGTGATGTGCTTTTCTAACCACAAGACATTTAATAAAGGGAATAAAAGCTCCAGTAAAATCCAGCTGTCTCTCAAGCAGTCATGAGGGAACACCAGCCAGTTAACTTAATTACTGCCTGCAAACAAAAAAGCAATTTCTCCGCCTGGATTCATTTGCTTATCATCGAGTGCTGAATAAAGACTTTGTAATGAGACCACTGTTTGTGAGAAGCACTGGTGTATTTTTCCACAAAAAAAACATGAGTTAAATAACTGTGCGTGGTGACAAGCAGCGCTTAGGAAGAACGTCATACCCTAGCCTTACATCCAACTTTACTGTGTGTCCCCTTTCTGAACTGTTTTTCCTGCAGCTATAAGTACTAAAGGTATGTGAACCATATGGCACGGGGGGAAACATCTGTTTTGATTAGAGAAGGGAGGCATCCTCTAAGGGTGCCACTGAAGCTGCCAAAAAAGATACTGTACTTGTGTGCGTTTGTATTTTTTCTTCATTTTTAGCCACACGACTAGAAATGAACTGGACAATGGAGCCATCACTGTGTGCCAGATCTCCTATCCCACACATCCACAATGACGACAGGATGCATCCAAGCGTCCTCAGCCTTCATGCTTAGAGTGAATTGCAGCGCTCACATTGCTCACTGCTCACAGAGGAAGCCTCGGGGCACGCTGAGGTTGGGGCTGAGGAAAAGAGCTCCGCCAGCAGTTGGCAGTGAGGTCGAAGCTGGGTAATAGGGAGGGGGCTGGGTGTTGAGGTGAAGAGAGTTTTATACTGAACTAGTGCTGCTCAAACCTCTGTTTCAACTGAAAGGGAATGTTGTAGCTTTAAGCCAGGGATATATCACATTTCAGAAAAGTAGAATCCTTAATCAGCAGCAGCATGACAAAACAAAACCAGAAATAACAAAGCTGATCAGAAGCTGTCTGATATTTATGTGTTTTATTTGATCATTTCATTGAGCTTTTTCTATTTCCTGGAGTTGCTGTCAAATGCCCAGGACAAATTTAATCTCTTTGTTATATTAATAAACCACCTTTTGATAAAGATGACATATTCAACATATTAAATTAGAAACAAAACAATGGAACCTACATGAATGAGAACTTTAAGATATATAGCCTCTGTAGCATTGCTGCCTAAGTTTAGGGGTCAGCGCAAATTGATTGATAACTATCCATTTAAACTAGTCCTCAAAGAAAGTGTTAGTTCCATAAGTACTATCACAAGAAATACAAACAACTTATATTTATTTGAAGTTAAGGCCACACTAACTCATATGAGGTGTGGCCAAAAAGTTCTGGAAATCAGTCCATAAAATAATAAAAAAGTAATACCTCATTTCAATTTGTCCAATCTCCCCTTCAAGCTCCTCTTTGTTAAATGGCCGGTATTTGTATAGCGCTTTACTTAGTCCCTATGGACCCCAAAGCGTCATCCACCCATTCACACACAGGTGATGGCAAGCTACATTGTAGCCACAGCTGTCCTGGGGCGCACTGACAGAGGCGAGGCTGCCGGACACTGGCGCCACCGGGCCCTCTGACCACCGCCCACCAGTAGGCAATGGGTGAAGTGTCTTGCCCAAGGACACAACGGCCGAGACTGTCAGAGCCGGGGTTCGAACCGGCAACCTTCCGATTACAAGACGAACTGCCAACTCTTGAGCCACGATTGCCTCACATGTTAGCATGTCTGGCATTTATATTTTGCTTCTCAATACAGAAAAAGGTCCTATTGTGTTTCCGTGCAATAGATCTCATTGCATGGATCATTTATTTTAACTCTGCTCTGATTCTCTTTACATTTGTGAAAACAAATGTGTGCTCACAATCAAACACTTGACTGATGTGCTGCCTTCAGGGACCGTCTGTTTCTATTAAGCACTGCGGTCAATTCTTAGATGTGTCAAAACACAGCTTCCAAAAAGCTATTTCAAATTATCAGCCGAACTGAACGTGGTCTGGAAAATGCACAAGATGACTTTAACGGCAAGACTGGTAAAATATAAATTCGTTTTTAACTTTCAGGAACTTTTCGATCGCTTTGCATTTAACTTGTGCTAGAAAACCAAAAGTATCAAAAAAGTATTATTTTAAAAGAAAGAGTATATGCAAAGTAGAAGATGCACCCATAACTCAGTGCCCTGATTTATCTCTAATCAGCTGATATTTTTTGTTTTTCTTTGTTTTTTAAACATGAACAGCATCTATGAGGTGTGAGGTCTTGGTGACCTACAGACATAAGGAAACACTTTAAACCTCAGCCCTTGGTTGTTGTGTGGCTCTCAGCCTTTATTCTGGCCTTCAGTAAATGGAACAAAGTTCAATCAGACTGAGATCACTTACTTGACTTGGTCAGTCAAGAATAGTCCATCTTGTCACCCTGAAAAGCTCTTTGGTTGCTTTGCATGTGTGTTTATGATCACTACTTTTACCCCCAACATTCAGATTCAAATCAGGCTGCTATTGTTCTGGAAGGTTAACTGTGGACGTATAAAATTGAAATGAATGCATGACTGATTGTTGAACAGCTGAGGTGAAAGAGACACTCACATGTCTGGAGAGGTTGTCACTCTTGCAGTCTAAATCATACCTGCAGAGAAAAAGGAAAAAGATTAAATATCCAAACATGGACAGTGGCAGCACAAACTGACTGACAGATATGTGACTGAAAGGGGACCATAGTGTCATTTTTTGCCTTCATTATCTAGAGGCATTAATGCAAGGTACAGCAGTTCTCACTAATCACTGTAAAGAAGCTATTCATGCTTAACACAGGTCTGTGATGGCGGGACCAAAAGCTTCACTAAAACGATTTCATGCATGTGGGTACATAATTACCAGGCTCAGTACTTTTAGGTCAGGTGAAGGCTTCAGCAATTTTACCACCCAAATTTTCCAGCTTTCAATTATGACGGTTTAAAACTTTTGGTTTGTAGTTAGTATGTATCTACACTGCCAATTAGATTATTTTAACAACTGCATAAAATATATTTCAAAAAGAAAGAAATAACACAGAGAAATATTCAGGGAATCAACCAGAGTCAGCATGCTACGTATTGTATTCATTTCAATAAACACCACTTTTATAAAACTTCATATAACTATCATCTATAGTATTTATATTATATACGCATATGCACATACATACACAAACACACCCGTCACAGATTAATGGATCTCAGTGGTCCATTCTTACACTCATAATGAGTAATATAGTGATTAGTTGCTTAAATGCTTTTGGAGGATTTTTGCATCTGGGAATATTGTTAACTTTAAAGCACAACAAGGCCCTGCATTGCCTCAAGGTTTAGCTATTCTATTTCAGCTAAATCGCAAATTCACTGACTGAAGCAATAAGAAACTCCAATGAAATTTTACTCGAGACATGTACTCTCGAGTAGAGTCTGGGTAGGTCTGGAACCAGCCAGAGAGGCACCAGTCCTGCAGTTTTTGTTGCTGCATCAGGTTATTGTACATGTATTAACATGATGAGCGTGTCACTCTAGGTTTGTCATTTTTCATACAGATGTATTTCAACCCAAACTATAGTCTTAACCTATAAGCAAGTGCATCTAAGTGCCTAAACCCAACCACACAATTTATTTAGTGTCTAAATCTAAATAACAAGTAAAAATGAAATTAAAAATTAGGTCAAAATTAAACAACTTGGACCAGGTTAACATTTAATGAGATTTAATGACCTCTCAATATTCCTCTCAAAGTTTTTAACTACGGTACATATTACTACTAGTGTTGAGGGTTTTTTACCTGCTTGTTTGCAAATGTGCTATTTGAAATTGTGTACCAATTAGAAGAGCAGTAATATAGTAGTTTTTATAGTAATTTTTAGTATTGATTTAGTATCTGAGCATCATTTTGTTTGACAGCCCTTCATGGAAGTGACAGGAAACCCCACGGGGTAGACCTGCAACCTACTTGCAGGTCGGGGGACACTCTACTTAGCCTGCTGCTACCACCACCATACTTCAGATAAGCAGTATATGATGGATGGATGGATGGATGGATGGAGTGCTCTTGGCAGCCAGTACTGTTGTAGCTAGTCTGTCAGTGCACCAACACCAAACAAGATCTCATGTATGGTAAGAGAATGCATTGGATGCACAAGTCCCCTGGACTTTGGTAATACCTGACAGGATGCTAACACCAGATGACAAAAACATTAACAGAGCGATTGTGACACTGCCTGTAGCACTATAAGCAACAATTCATTTTTACAGTCTGTCCAAACTGAACATGATATAAGGTGATGTACAATCACTAAATATTCATTCTTCCCTTAATCTGTAATGAGTTTTGACAAAGTCTGGATAAATCAGTATCCCACCAGGGGCAATCTGATAACAAACTTTTTGACTCAATGGAAAAATTGGACCAATAATTTTTTGTTTTGGTTTGGGTTTTTTTTTTTTTACATCCAGTCCAAACCTGATGGCTACATTACTCACAACACAAGACGACCATTTAGCTGGATATTTGGTTGTGTTACACTAGTGGTAGGCAATGTGGCCTTGAGCCATTAACCTGAAACAGAGCCCTGAAGCTTCGTTCTAACTCCCTCAGTTTTCACTTTTTATTCAGACCCAAAAGACACCAACTCAAATGTAATCACTTTAGGCAGCTTAACAAGCTTCACTTGGCTCCTTCTTATGCTGTTGAAGGTTTTACTAAAAACTTACAGGCTTTCTCTTGAGGCATGCAGTGTTAATTTTCTGGTGCCCACTGAGCTTACAGTTGTCAAATGAAAAAATAAATGTGTCAGATCTTGCAGATTTATGACTTCCATCTGTGATCGCCGCTTCCCAACAAACGCTCCTAAAGGATTCAGAAATGAGCAATTCCTGTATTTGTCCATCCTAACATTCGTCCAAAACCAAACGCAGCAGCTATGTTGTGCATGCCATCTAATCTACTTGGCTCCCCACAGAGCAATTTATCCAGCTTTATTTATTTCCTGCACCACGGAACCTCCTTCGGTGTGTCAGGTGTGTGTCAATATGCGAGTGTGGTGTATGTGCAGCAGTGTGCAGCCGAGTGTGTAAATGGAAGAGCCTGAGCGTTTCTTTCTACAGACAGCATGCCATGTACGATAAGGCGCCTGCTGACAAAACGAGGAGATGCCGTGTGTCACTACAGGATGTGGAAGAGAGCTCGAGTACAGTGCCATTACTAATATATTTCCATAAGCGCAAGGAAGCCACGCTACTGTTACGCAACATGCTGCCAGCAAAATGCACAGGTGCGCTTCATGTTCTATTCGCCCCTTGCCTCTGTCACTCCCAAAGGTTCATAAATGATTCATTTCATTTTATTTAATTATAAGAGACCCAAAGAGAGCAAGAGATAAAAAAGAGAGGGAGCACGAGAGGGAGAGCAGGGGAAAAAAGATGTATGTATGATGATTTGGCGGCACATGTTCACCCGCACATACACACAAACACACACAAGAGTGCTAGAGTAGATGTCCCATGGCGTCTTGTGAGTGCACATTTGCTGTGTATGACTGGACGTACGTGCGTGAATGTTTATGTAGATGACGTCACTCTGCATCGGCACTGGGCCAGACAGGATTTCTCTCGGTCCTGCGCTGTCTGTCTTTGGGAGTGGGGGGTTGCTGCTCAGAGCTCTGTTTGAACTGAGCAACGATGACTAATGACAGCGCACAAATAAATGGGGCCGAAGAGGCAGGCAAACAACAGACAACGGCTCACTGACACTTCAGCGTTGTTTCCTAACAGCTTCATAAACCACTGAAAAGCTTTCAGGCTGACTGACACAAGATATCACACAAATATTTTATTAGCGGCCTCTACACTCACATGATCGAGATGATGTTTTACCAAAAATACTGCTATAAAAGGAAGTGAAAAACCATCCGACCTTCAGCTCATGTAGTCCGAGGCCATTTAAAAGGCTCTTATTAAGTTGTATCTTTATCCCCTTTTGCTTTCAGAAAGCTTTCTTCTGATTGGCTGCCCATCACAAACAAAAGTTCTGAAAAAGCAGGTGGGTGGAGCTGCAGAGTTATGTGTCTGCCATGACGACATTAAGGATATATCCGCTCACTGAGATCATACCAAACCAAGAGTAGAAAAACTCTCAGAAGCAGCCTGAGACCTGAGCTTTTGGCTTTCAGAGATTCAACACTGACCTCATTATTTGACACTGACCATGTTGCCTTAGAGAAAGGTATGGTGGCTCTGAGAGGTCAAAAAAACCCCTTAAATATCTGCAAATGGAAAAATGGGACACAATAACGTGATGGAACAACTGCAGACGTAAAAGAGCAAAAACCTTGTAAAGGATTGCATTTAAAAGTATAATACTATAGACACATACTTGTTACTGTTAGCAAACGTCTGTCTACTGTTAGCTTATCAGCTAGGTTTTTCTGTGTACTTTTGCAACATTTTTCTATTTGCTGTTGTTTCTATTGTTACTAGTGTTTTTAGTGTCAGCGCATGTGCACATTTTCACTAGTCACCGTTTTTTCTTCTAAAGTGCATATTATTATGCATTATAAATGTTTTTATGATTAAGAATATTGACAAGCATGTTATATTTACAAAAAATAATTCATTCTGGATAGAAAAGTTCGCGTCCCAGTGCAGCACTGTGGCATGGTTAGCACTATTGCCTCACAGCATGAAGGATCTTTGTTCGACTCCACCACCTGGCCGGGGCTTTTCTGTGTGGAGTAGCATGTCCGTGTTCGTGTGGGTTCTCTCCGGGTACTCTGGCTTCCTCCCACAGTTCAACGACATGCAGTTAGTTGGTTAATTGTTACTGTGTTCCTATGTTAATGTGATGAGTGAGTGTAAATGGTTGTCTGTCCCTCTATGTTAACCCTGTGACACACTGGCGATTTGTCCAGGGTGTACACTGCATCTTGCCCTATGGTAGCTGGGATAGGCTTCAGACCTTCTGCAACTAAAACAGAATAAAACGGACTATAATCAATTCTTCTCATATTCTTTTGTTCGATTCCTTGTGTACATACACAGGGAATATTTTGTTCTTTCATCTTGGATTGTGTGTATGTTAGTTTTCAGCCTGCTTCTTTGTCCCAATCACATCTTGTCTATATTTTAAATCTCAATGTTTCCTGTTGTTTTCATCGTATTTTAATGTTAACATTCTGGATTACGGCAATAATGCAGTATTTATATTACCACAGTGAAAGAGAGGCTTACTCTAATGCACAAACTTTTACATTTATATATAAAGCTGTGTGTCTTTCACACCGTGCCATCATTTATTTTGTTTTTCAGTTCAAATTCAGTCAATATTTATTGTTTTTTTTCTTCCCCCAAAATGGAAAAGAAACATGCATTCTTCATGGTGAATTTCTTCTTCTGCTCTGTAAAGGTCTTTGTTTTGCAGGAAATATTCAACATTAATATATTTAAGCAAATCTGAACTTGAAATTGGTTCCACTCTTTTATTCTTGAGTACCTTAAATATTTTTATATAGCTATATCTTTATTGTATTCCTTTTTTGGTGAGCATTTCACTTTATTTTTTGAGGTCTGATCCAATTTGCAACACTTGATTAGACCACCATCCACCCAG